AGCTAGCGTTTCTAAGTGGTCTTTTTGTTTGTACCCATTTTGCAAAGGCAACCTGATCGATTTTCATTTTCATTGGAGCCTAAAAACTCCAACAATACAGCTGCAACTGCTTTGCCAGATTTAGTGACTTTTTCTGGACCTCTTAAAGACTTTATTTCTCAAAATGTATAGACTTATAGATCAATCCATGGCACTTCCGCCAATAGTGTGTGGTCCCTCAATTTCCTCTTCCACCGAGCGTGGATATATATATATATAAATATATATATATTTTTTTAAAGAAATTATTAGTTTAATCAGTGTCATAAGGGTTTTAGAACAAAAAAATATTTTTTTGTAAAGAAATGTTTGGAAGAGTTTCATTACCGACTTCCACATTCAGCAGATCTAATTTCCACGGTAAAGGTATGTCTGTCCGGAACAGAATGAAGAGAATGAACGCAAACACACAGACATACTTTACTCCCTTCAGACCATGCTGACAGCCGACAACACCCTGAACAAAAACTCACCACGCAGCAATGGAAGAACACAAGTTTAGTTGACCAGCGCACAATTCTGATCCCTTGAACTTACAGCTGCTCTTCTCTCTGGTTAATAGTTTATATTAACAGATGAGACAAAGTATTCATACTGAACATATCTGAAAAATGTTTACTTTCAAGAGAAAATGGTAAACAGACTTGAATTTAGATAGCTCCTTTCGAATACACTCTTTGTACTCTACATGCCAACAGTTTCAAAATTAACATCAACACATTCACACGCCCTGATGGCACTTTAGGTTTAACATCTCGCCAAGTAGAATGGAGGAGCCAGTGATCAAACCGACGAACTTCAGATAAGCGGAAGACCCGCTCTACCTCCTGAGCTACAGTCGCCCAGTGTTTCATTCTAGTATCATTCTACTTTTATGACATTGCCAAATAGTGAGATAATGGAGGTTTCGGTGAATATTTGCACACACATATTGAGACACTACAACCCAACACGCATACGCACACGCACAGGTATCTGCAGAAAGAGACACAGGTTTTGAAAAAACAATGACATCATCTATGATCTCATTGCTTACTAGGGGTGTAACAGATCATAACACTCACGGATTGGAGTGACGGATCTCGGATTGGATCAGTACAAAAGACAAAAAGGTTATATAACGTGATGATAAGGCTAAAATGTACCTCGCCCATCACTAATTTTCACTGTACAGAACCTGAACACATCATAAAGCAACTGAATGCAACCTCCGTAGGTTAGCCGTTAGCAGTGCTGCCATTGTTGCTAGCTAACGTTGGTCAGTAAAACTTTATTTCACACTTTTATGGTTAAACTGTGTAATTAATCCACGGTTCACATTCTTGCAGAACCGTAATGGGGGGTCAGTACAACAGCGATCTCTTACACCACTTTTGCTTATTAAAAGGTGGTAAATTCAAAATTCAGAACACACTTATTGCCTCCACATGCTCTCAACATGGCGACGGCTGAGCCTGTGGCTCGAAGCTAGCTGTGCTAAAGGTGCTAAAAGTGCAAACAACAGCAACAGTGCTGACAGAGTCAACACTGCTTACCTTGGGGTAGTCACCAAGCCTTTATAAATGCATATTTTCATAAAGTATGCTATCAAAAATGTCTTCCTTGAGTAACAGCTATTGTATCAGTAGTTGTAACAAAAAATAGCAACACTCAGTATGAGAGGAAAATACACGATCAACTGTTAGGTATTGTCACTTAGATTTCAATTTAATGTAATCTTTACATAGTGTTGGAAAGTGGTGCTGGGGGAAAACCTATGACATCATAAAATCATTGTACACAAGCAAAAGTTGTGCTGTAAAGACTGGCCAAAAGCACACAGACTTCTTTCCCCAAAGCTGGAGGGTTAGACGCAGCTTCCAGGCCAACCATCTTCAACATATACATCAATGAATTGGTAAGTGCATTAGAACCATCTGCAGTTTCTGGCATCACCCGAGCAGACACTGAAATCTAATGCCTACGGTTTGTAAAAATTGCATTGTTGCAAGATTTGCAAACCGTAGGCATTCGATTTCAGTGTCTGACAGAGACAGAGAGAGACAGACAGAGAGAGACAGAGGGTGTGAATTTGAAAGAGTGACAGAAGATTTTTGTAGCCAGAGGAATTGAAGTGGTGCGATCAGGGGGAAAGCAAAATAGCGGAATGAGGAAATACAGAAAACAGAACAAAATAAAAAGATAAGAGGAGAGAGAAAGAGTATGGTCTTCTGAACTTCACATTTGACGCACTATCTATAATTAAAAGCACATAATGCTTTTCCCTCACTGTGGAAGCTCAATGACACATGTCACATTCCAACCTATTTAAAACAGATACATAACTAGTGCACATACAGTAGTTAGAACTAATCAGTCACTCACTCTATCAAGTTCAAAGAGCAGATGTCAAGAGAGGTGTGGCAGTACATAGACTTCAAGCATCACCACGTGTCAACAAGACAATTAGCACAACAATTAAAGAATAGGAAACCAAAAGTGAAAAACAGGAAAGAAATAAGGGGAAAAGAGTCACAATTCAAAACAGATAAGTGAATCGAGACATGCTACACAAGGGGAAAAGTGAGAAAGAAGGAGGGAGATAAAGACAATTAGAGCATAAAAGGATGGACATGAAGATAAAGAGGAAGACCCCAAAGGGAGAAAGTGAGAGATGCTAGCAGCTGATATGAAGTCGGGGTTTTCAGCATTCCTCGGCCTTGGAAAATACTTAAACATGCATGACTGGCTCCTCTGTTTGCCTGCAGAAGTCGGTGAGACTTTAGCATCTCAGCAATGTTTTACATGCAGAAGAATGCAGGACGACGGCACCGGGACAGTCTGTTAACTCCCCACACATCCACAAAGTCTACCCAGCTGCTTTCATTTGACAGTCGAATGTACTCTCTCCCTTTAGCTCTGGTTCAGTCTTCACTAATCTCTACAGATTCTATCAGTCAGAATCTGTAGACAACAGGACAAGATTTTGGTATCAGAAGCATTCTGGTTTCCATTGGCTGTCCGAGTGGTATCGACCAATCGCGTTCGAGCAGGCTCCGGTTGCACGTGGGTAAACAGTCCGTGGGGAGAGCAAAAGAGGCCGGAACTCATTGGCTGAAATGTTACCTCAGAACCAAACGGCTATCGTTTGAGAATTGTTTAGCTTTTTATTAATCTCTAAACAATACGGTTGTGGACGTCGTCTCTCGACTCCGACTCCATTCTCAGGTCTGAAGTTGCTAAATGGACTGTAAACACTGAAGGGGAACGGAAGAGGAGGTTTTGGCACGGATATCCAGAAATACGGTCCGTTGACCTGACATGCTAAAAAAACCCCATCAGACCGATAGTCGATGGGTTTCGATGTTGGTTCTCCACCAACTCCTGGTGAAAATATTTAGTCCTTTAGTAGCACTATGCAACTAAAACTATAAGCTAAATGAGGCAAAAAGCTTTCTAGTGAGGTAGTGGATTGACCACTTCCTCATGAAAAAAAGATTAATGGAGCAATAACTGGACTGTGTTCTTAATTTTTACCTGTATCAAACAGTGCGCCAGAATGCTAACAAACACTTAACAATTACCCCGACTTTCTGTTTCGTCCAAACAAATTGCAGCTGTACCCTGTCGTGGTTAAAGGTCCGGTGTTATTGTTATTATTGTCATTAATTAACAAAGATATGACATAGTGGCTCCATGTGGTGCTGATATGAGTGGCATTACCGCCACCCGCCCAGATAAAATAAAGATAGTCTCCTTTCTGCAGCCCTCTTATCGGAGCACAGTGCAGAGTACAGAGAGACTCGCCCTTTGAATGAGAGTAGCACTCAATACATTTCATCATTGTGAAAAATGGAAATTTCATTTGCCATGTTTGGCGCCGTCTGTTTTAGTCAGATGGAGTTTAAAGCTTAAGTAACAAAGTGTGGAAACAGCTACATCACCTGAAACAACTAGGTAACAAGTATTATTTTTGGGGTATTTCTCTCTGTTATAGAATGACCATAGCATTTCTATAGTGACTTAAAGCACATTTTTGGAACTACACAACATGGCAAGAAGTATATGGACTCAAGTGAATAGGCTGTGGCTGGGGATGGATATTGTATTTTAATATCCTTTGGGCTCTTCGCAGGCACCTCTTGTCACCAATATCACAGATCCTCAGTAGACGGGTACCAAAAGGTGGTGTGAGCGGTTTTAATCACCCGCTGTAGAGCCTGCTGTCCTTTGAGCACAGGGACACTGTCATGTTGAAAAGTTGGAAACACGCCATTGTCTTAAATAACACTGTTTGCTGTAGCGATAAGACTTTCCTTCACTGGAACTAAAGTGCCCAAAGCATGAACAGAAGTACACCACTGTGGACGGGGGTATCCACACTATGGGCCGTATAGTATGCTCACACTGACTCCGTTATGTCCTACAGGAGCTATGGTGGAGCTCTGTTGTGCAGCAGAGAATTGGGGGGGCACATGTCAGAAAATTCAGAATTCTGACATTTAGGTAAAAATCCGACTTTTGTCTCAGAATTCTCATTTTAAACTGAGAACTCAATTACATTTTTTTTTTAAATATATATATTTTTTAAATGTGACTTTAAAGCCAGAATTCTGACTTTAATCTCAGAACTCAAATATTGGCCCCAATCCTCTTCCATATACAATGTTTTTTTATGTGGTCAAAACAAACTTTCAGGACATATTTTAGGTATAAACATGTTACCTAATGGATTTACAGTGATCAAAGTTAGACAGTGAAACTGTAAAGTACTTTTCTGTGATTGAACCGTCTCTACGCAGGTTTCCCTCTAACAACTTCCCAGCCAGACTAAAGCTGCTCCTCCAGCACCGAAGGAAACGTGCCGTGAACTCACAGCAAGTAAGTAAACGATGACGGCGGCTGTGCACTGAAAGCGACGCAGCAGCAGTCAGGTTCGAACCCGACGAGCAGCGTCCAGGTCTAAATCATCAGCCTCTTACCTTGTTCAGTGATCCCTCCGCGCTGCTCTGGTGCCGACTGACAGCCTGCACTTTGCTGCCCCGAAAGGAGTTTACCTTGTGGGTGGGGCCGGGGCTACACCTGGGCGTGTTGTAGTGAGCGCGCGCGACGCCGCTGACGCACGCACACAGAGTGGTTGTCGATTTACCTGGCCGCCCGTTCAGAGCTGATGAGCAGGGAGGGAAGAGTGGAGGGAAACGCGATGTCTGGCGGAGATGCAAGGAGAAACTTTATGAGTTATGAACCTCCCTCACAACATTTTTTGGAGATGGAGAGCACCAGTCTCCCACCAAAGTGCAACTATTGTAACTCATTCAGGAATGTCCTCATCTCTTGAGGCGTGGTTCTCCTCTCTGACGTCACTGATGATTCTTTATTGAAGGTCTGAATTGGAACTGAAAATCTATCATTATCATGTCTGTCTTTCTGTCTGTCTTTCCATCTATCAGTAAATCCAAAATAAGAAGAAAAAAATATGCAGCATGTAGTTCATATTTATTTGCAAGTTGGCAAATCATTTATTCTTGCTTCTTTTGCATGTAGCATTGAATTTGCATGTAAATGTGATGCTAGTTGGAGCAGATTTATTTGATGCATTGGTGTGAGAATGTGTTACCCAGTTTAGAGAAACCAGACAGGAGTACCAGTACGGGAGCAAAGCAATGTCCTGCTGTGGACCGAGGCAGCAGCAGAACCCCTCACAATAATCTGTATCAGTTGAAGTTTACGCTATGTTTAGAATATTTGTGCCACTCTTTCTTGCTGTCACACAGACCTTTTCGAAGGGGGAACTGAAGTCGTTATCCATGCTCTCTTCAAAGCCACAGACAATAACAGTAATATTACCTCTCACAACACAAAAGTTGCTGTTCTACTGCTGCCTCTATCGCTAAGCTTTAGTTTTATTTCTAGGTGTCTTTTTCCCCAAGGCGGCGTGCCGACCACCGTCTACTGTAAGCAGCACACTGACTATGTATAAGCACCTCATACAACCCCACTTCAAAACACACAAACTATCCCTTTAAGGTGAAAACACAGTAAAAAAAACATAAAAACCTAAACTTTGATCACGACCTTAATCACAGTGAGGGAAGTCTGTCCCAGAGACCAGACCCCCCCCCATTGCAGACAGACAGCCCAGACAGCTAACAGTGGAGGTTTGGAGTCTGCTGTTGGTAAAACAGCCGCTGGTTGCCATAGGTGTCAGACTGAACCCAGAGCTGCTTTGTGTTGGGCAACACTGACAACCACTCCTGACATTCCTCTGTGCTGGAGCTGAGAACACACCCATTCAGCTGGTTGCACTGAGGAAACATACACACACACACACACACACACACACATACACATATGTAGGCTACACATGCAATTATATGACACTAATATCTCATTCACATCTTTTGTTGAGGACAAGCCTGTTTGTGAAAAGACTATTGAATACGTTTGAGTGTGATTAGTTCTTCTGTCCGTCAGAGAGTCTCTGTATCAGGATGCTAGAAGGTCAGACTTCAGGAAATTGTTTTAATCTGAGCTGATAAAGTGCAGCACGTGGCACTTTATCATGTGGCTTGATCGCTGTGGATTGAAACAGAAGGAGTGAAACTGTCAGTGTTCAGAAGGTTCTACGGACATTGTAATATATGTGTATATGTGAATATATCTAAATACATAAATATATATATATATACAGTATACATATATTTATTAAATAGATATGTTTAATATATATATATATATATATATATATATATATATATATATATACACAATATATATATTTATACAATATATTTGTATATTTATGTATTTATGTATCAAACTTCATTGATTTTTAAAGCTAAATTCACTCTGTGAACATATACTGTATATAACAACTATGTTGTCTTCATCATTTGTTGAGTTCATATTTGTTATATTGATGCTGACTGTTGCTAGCGTTGTCTGTTTGATGATGTGTGTGTCTCCAATGCTAATGTATATTTTAAGCAAATACAATAAATTGTGATGAGATGTTGACCTTGTTGCACTTTGTTCTCATTCCCCTTTAATAGTTTTGATCTAAAGTAGTTTCTAAAATATTTGCTGTGATTAAATGGTTTCCCTTTTGTTTACATTGCAACTGGTAAAGGGGGGGGGGGGGGGGGTAATTCAATATACTGTAGCTGGCTTGATCTAAAATATACCCTCATTTATTTGTTGATTATAGTTTGTATGATCTGAGTTTAATGTAGCGGAGTAAAGAGTGTTTCCCTCTGACGTAATAGTGGAGTAGAAGTAGGAAAGAAATGACCTCAAAGTTCATCACCACTAAAAATAAGGCAATAAAAAATGTGATGCTGTTTATTCTAACTCGTTCTCACCTAGGAATGTGATGTCCTGCCAGAATGTCCCGGAGCAAAACAGTTTGTGTGACAAAGTAAAGTGGAACAAAGCATCCGTCAGCATTCTGTCTATTTCTCACTGCAGATAATTACGATAAAGTCCAAACATTTCAGAAGAACTAAAATCTCACTCTGTTTCGTTTACGTGTCGTGAGTCGTCTCATGAGGGAATTTTTTTTGAATCCATATTTTTCAGAATTGTGTTCATAATACTCTCTATCTGTTCCGCATTACAAAATACATTGTCGTTGGAATCACTGTGCCTTGTAGTCTGACCTGCCCACGTGTCGGTCATTACAAAGTCACGTTTGAATCCACTGCACTTTATTTTAAATTGTAGACTGAGAATTGAGATTAAAGTACGTCAGATTGAATTTTGGTAACTGTCTTTAAAATGGCAAAACAAACAAACGGAGTCAAATGGAGGTATAAATACTTCACTGTGTTGTCAAAAAGGGAAAGCTGCGTGCTGAAGAGTTCTTTTCATCCTCATGTGAAGGTGAGGCACCCGGCGGGGAGATGGACATGTGTTGTGTCAACCCGGTGGCTCAGGGTGTGACTGCAGCTCAAAGGGAACATGCTGCAGCATGGGAGCGTCCCACCGACACAACCTTTACTCACACACTGATAAGTCACGCTGCTGCAACAACTTACGTAACAAGACGTCTCTGGGGGTGTTTCTCCGTCTCTGGGGGTGTTTCTCAGAGAGAGTTCTACAGCTCTGTTGTGGACTTCTGTTTCCACTGCCCAGTGAATAAAACTCATCTGAACCAGCCACAGAATTGGACCTGAAAGAAACTTTTCTTCATCAGTTTAAACAGTGGGACTTTACATCCAGGTGTCTTTATTTTCTTCACATAGAAGATGGTGCCTGAAGATGTTGAGTTTCTGCAGAATGTACAGGATGCCAACAGGCACTGGAGGAAGTATTCATTACCTTTATTTAAGTAAAAGTACTAATACCCAGTTTAAAAATACTTATTATTATCGTATTAAAAGTAAAAGTCCTCAATGCAGGGAAATGTCCCCATGTTACTGTTACAGATCACCTCATTAGAATATTATAACTCGTGCATTTATGTAAAAGCAGGATTTTACTGCTGTGGTTGGTTGAGGTGGTGGCTCATTGTGAACTATTAAAAAGCCTCATGTTCCAGTGTGTAGGATTTGGCGGCATCTAGCTGTGAGGTTACAGAGTGCAACCAGTTGAAACTTCTCCCGCGTAGGAGAGCGACTGTGGCCGACGGGAGAATGCCAAGGAGCCTATCTAGAGTTGTTGTAATAGTAGCATAGGGCCAGTGCGTGTGAAGCAATATGCATGAGCGAAAGAGTTGGCAGCGGAGCAGAGGAGAGGTTAGTTTGGCAGTGAGGACTTCAAGTGGAAGTTTAAAAAATTAATGCTACAGTTCTTCAAGTCCAACAGAACTGAAGCAGGTTGGTTTGTCTGCAGAAACATGGCTGGCTCAGTAAACAACTACATCTATGGATTCAAGGATTCAAGGATCATTTATTGTCTATATGCAACACAGGGATGCAAAACTAAATTCAGTTGTCGCCCATTTGTAACAAAACAAGCACATGACAAACAAAACTAAAATGATGGATCTAGGTCTCTGTGAAGATGTGGGCTCAACAGCCACCGACTGCTATCGTCCATCTTATTATTCTGCAACAGAGCATCAGGCAGCCAGAGGCACGGTCAACCAGGTAACAGAACTCCAAACAAAAGATGAGGACAAACCGCCTAAAAACGAAGGAAAAAAAACGGACTAATGAGGGGAGTCAAAACAGGTGAGCAGGTCAGGTGACTGCAGGGCTAACGAGGGACAGGTGAAAGTAATCAGGGGCGGGGCAGACGATCAAAACTGGCGGGAAAACACATGAGGCAGAGAGTGAAGCGATCTCAAACGAGAGGAGAGGCGAGTAACGAAGCCAGACAGGAAACAGGAAACAGGAATGACGGACAAAGACATGACCTAAAGGAGCAGGAGCAGAGGTAATTATTACAGTTATTAAAAGGAGATGCAGCAAAAAGCTTTTTAATTGGAGTGGAGTAAATACTAAGGTATCTTCCTCTAAAATGTAATGGAGTAGAAGTAGAATGGGGCATGAAAAGACTCAAAGTAAAGTGCTTTAAATTTGTACTCAATACAGTACTTCATCACGTCAACATGTGTCCGAACAATTAATTCGTCACGTCTTGTTTTCTCTCTTTGAAAAACTTGAGATGGTTCATGACAGCAGACACATGTAGGTTGTTTGACTGAAAATATTATGTGGGTAAAAGAACCTCGGAGTAAAAGAGTGAAATACTTTACAACACTGATGCCCTCTGGACAGGCCCCGGTGATAACTACAGTGAACTGTTTTCTATTGAACTCGCTAGTCCTGCTGTGATTTAAATCCTATCCAGACTGACGTCCTGGTATTCTAAAGTGGATCTCTGAGTTATTGTTCTAACGCATTCATAAGATGTGACTGAGTTATGAGTCAGAGAAGAAGTAGGATTTTGACTCGATGTCGTCACACATTGCCACACCTTACACACTCAAACAATTTTGGTTTCGTCTTTTGACTTCGTCATGCTGAATGCCCATAAATCAAAGAGTTGGACAACATTTAATTTTGACCAGATTATGAAAAGTCCAGAGATTCAAGAGATTCATCCCCTGGGGTTAATGAACATGCAGGCTCGTCTCATCCAACAGTCGTAGCTATACCTATGGAAAAAAAATGCTGCGTTATTTCGTATTATTTTGTATATTCTCCACGTAATCATGAATGAGGAAGTATGAAGAGGAAGGGAGGTGGATGGGTTCAGCAAACGGCGATCTTTCAGCCAGGAGACCGCTGGTGCTTCCTCATGTGAAACGAGATGTCAAAGTTGATTTATTTGACACTTAACTTGTTAGTTTAACCCAAACAGTTATGTACGTAACCTCAGTTATGTACGTACATATGTTGCCTAATCTGATTAGTTTATTTTGAAAAGATTGTGTGCATGAAACAAGCAGAAATGGACAAGTGTTGCTGGACGTTCGTAGTAAAACGCACAAAATAGGAGCTGGTAACTTTTTGTAAGACATCATTCTAACTGCTGTATGAGTATACGTTCCAGTATGTTCATCAAATTATACAACAAACATTTCCAATATCTTAAAACAAAATTTGTCTTCGTGGTGGCATTAGATTAAAAGTCGGAGGACCACCCAAGTTATTAGAATGCATTATGCATCCTTGAAACAGCTGTTGAGATATTTCACTCCAAACAACAAATGTCAACCTCACGGTGGCACCAAAAGAAAAGTCAGGTGATCACCAGAGCCAGGAGGGTTCATCCTCAGGAGACCATGAATGCACGTACAAAGTTCCATAGCTATCTATTTAATTAGAATAAAGTTGTCAAGATATTTCAGTCTAAACTTAA